TTTTTTAACAAATATATATATATATATACATATATATGTGTGTGTGTATATATATACATATGAAAAATTAGAGGCTAAAAATTTTTGCTCATCAAGGTATTCTTATAAAGAAATTACAAAATGAACTGGAGTGTTTTAAGGAGTGACAATGGAGAATGGATGTGGATACAATCAAGATACATTGTATGAAATTGAATTGAAGATTGAATAAATAAATATGTTTCTAAAAGACAATATATTGAATATACTAGAGAAGAAACTATTCATTAGTCACTTATTATAGGTATTTGATCAGTTTTAAGTCTTTTTACTAAACATTATTCATGGCAAAAACTTCTCTAAGACTTAGAGCAACATAATTATATAAATACAAATATATATTTGAAGACATTTATATATTGCCACTACTGCTGTTGGTTGTGATTTTACTCTGGTATCTAGGCATCTGAGATAGGTCTAGGTGCTGATTTCTGGATCTGTTGAGCAGGTGTTTTGTTCCTTGTTTTCTATTTCCTCTCTGGATTTTCAGAGTGTGATAGCTGTGTGTTGGCTGTTTTCCTGGCTTGCACAGTTGGTGTGTTCACAAGAAATGACTGCTGGTTTTGGTGGCTGAGATTCTGGGATAAGCTGGGGGAAGAAACATTGGAGTAGGTCTTTGTGATGTATTGGGTTTGGGATCAGAGAGAAACAGGAGACCACAGCAGGTTTTCTGCTGGAGAGCTGAGAATGAGACTGGGGGAAATTATATCTCAGGAACAGTAGGAGAGATATAAGGTATGGGTCCACCACTAACTTATTTCTTGCCTAGGAGGAACAATCCTAGGAGTAGCAGAGAGTGCCTTCTGGGGTTAGGGGTTGGGATAAAACTACCAATTTGAGGGAGGGAAAATAGGAGGACATGGTCTGTGGAAATTCACAAACCGTCCAGGCTGTTGTTAAGACAAAAGTTTGCTCTCCCCAGACTGACAGTGGGGGCCCCACAAACTCCTAACAACTTATTAAATATAGAGAAGTCAAACTGGTGCCTACATGATACCTTCACTCATGTTTCATGTTTCTTTGGTGTGCAAGGTACTCTGTAGTCTACTTAAGGAGAAATGTAGTCACCAATCCAGCCACAAAACCTCTGACTTTGTCCTGCAATTTGTTCTGCCTGTGAAATATGCTAGACCATTGTGGCCCAGAGCTCATGGGAATAGCCAGCTAATGTCTGATTTGACTAAGGACACACTCCACTCCACCAGAAGGAACCCATGACACTACTTAGGTAACCAAGAAGCAGAGATTAGATAGCCCAGAATCCTGGAGTAAAAAAGTCACTACTTGTCTAAAATTTAAAAAAAAAGTATCAATAAAATGACTTCCTAATGGTATTCTGCTATACACAATGATCATCTGAGTTTCTTCCTCTGTAAATAGGTGGGAACAGATGTAGAGATCCACAGAAAGAAATTATGGGAAGAGGGCGTCTAAATGAGAGATCTTCACACTGTCTCTCCCATCAAAGCTGAAGGAATTTTGAGGGAGATTGGAAAGATTGTAAGAACCAGAGAGGATGGAGGACACCATAAGGACAAGGCCCTCTAAATCAACTGAGCAAACCTCATATGCGCTCACAGAGACTGAAGCAGCAAGCCTCAGGCCTAGATGGATCTTCACCAGGTCCTCTATTCATATATTACAGCTGTTAGCCTAGTATTTTTATTTGACTTCTGGGTGTGAGCACAAGTGCGTCCCTGGTTCTTGTGCCTGCTCTTGGTACTCTTTTCCTCTAATTGGGTTGCCATGCCCAACTTCAATATTATAGTGTTGCTTCATCTTCTTATATTTTATCATGTCTTGTTTGGTTGTTACCTTTTAGAAATCCATTCATTTCTAGTGAGCGATAGACTGTAGATCTGGAGAGGAGAGGAGCTGTGGACGATCTTACAGGAGTAGAGGGAGGGTAAACTATAATTAGAATATATTGTGTGAGAAAAGAATCTACTTTCAATAAAAGGGAAAAAAGTAGTGGGGGAACAAGGATGTTTAGAAGCCAGTTTGCCATTATATACACTTAACCAAAGATTAGTAGATCCCTTTATGTAGCCCTAAGACCTCCCTAACCATGGAGTTGTGTTGAAGTTTAGAATAAAGAAAGTGAACTTCTCCTATGGAGCGGATCTCAAATCAAATCACTGTGTGGATTTTTTTTAATTCACCCAATGCCATGCACTAATAGTCTCATCTTGTTTAGTGTTTTGTTGTTGTTGTATCTCAGCAAGATAAGACTATTATTAATATTTATTTCTCTTTCAACATCCTGCATATCACCTACAAACATGAAAAACAACCATCATTAAAGAAGTCTCCCACTATTTCTGACTTGACTTTCTATATTATACAATCAAAGTTTATAGTTTCTTTTCTATCTCACAGTTACTGTCTATGTATTTGTCAGATGTGTCAGCCTCTATTATGCCAAGATCCACTCATTCCATCCACAATATCTTCATTGCATTCATCATGAAGGCATGTTGAATTTTTTTCAATGGCTTTTTGTCATCTATTGAGATAATTTGTGACTCTTATTGTTGAGGTCATTCATGTGATAAATATGGTTATTGATATTTTTATAATTTTTGTATCTATATCTGGTACTGTTATTACTGCAATTCTGGATCCATAAAATACTTTGGAAGTGTTTCTTCATTTTTTTGTTTTATAACACAAATATAGAAGCATTGGTTTTAGTTCTTCTTTAAAGAACAGAAAGAATTCTTCAGTGAGACCATATAGTTCTGAGCATGTTTTAGTTCTGAAAATTTTAGTTATTGCCAAAATTATATTGCTTTTTGGAACATTATTTAACTTTTTTAGGGCACCTTGGTTTAATTTTAGTAGGTCATATGTACCCAGGATTTGATACATTTCCTTTAGAATTTCTGATTTGATAGAACACAAATAATTAAAGTATGTCTTTATGACTTTCTGAATTTTTAAGGTCTGTCTTCTCTTTTAATTTTGCTTAAATTTGCTAAAGTATGTTAATCATTTTTATTTTTCCAAAGAATCAAAAATTATTTTGTTGCTATGTGGTGTATATCAGTCCTGATGTAATTATTTCTTTTTGTCTCCTTCTTTTGGATTTATTTGCTCTTGCTTATCCAGGACTTTAAAATATATCATTGACATATATATTTGAAGGATCTATGACTTTGAATATGTTGTTTTCAATTTCATTCAGTTCTAAGAAATTTTTAATTTTCTCATTGAGTTCTTCAATGACTCCTTCATTTAATAGTGCATTTGTTCAATATGTATATTTCTGTAAGTTCTTATCATGTATTTAACATTATTTCACTGTGGTCATTTAGAATACAAAGTTACTCCATTTTTTCCAAAATAATTAAGACTTGTTTTGTGTCCTAATATGTGATTTATTCCTGAATAAATCTTATGTACTGCTGAGAAGAATTTTTTATTCTGCAGTATTTGGGTGGAATACTCTATAAGTAACTGTTAAGTCCATTTGATCTATGGTGTCTTTTGTCTCCACCATTTCTGTATACTTTAGATAATGTATCTCTTGAAAGTAGGTTCTTGAAGCAATCTTCTTTTACTGAGTTAGAATTAACTGGAGATTTATATCTAGTAGTGTTTGCATCATGAAATTGGAGATATATGTTTTCAGGTCATAAGGTCATACATACTTAGAATTGCAATGCATTTGTCTGCATGTATTGGTTTCCTAATGAGTTTTATTTGCCCCTTTTTGTTTCTCTGGCTTATTTTAATTTGCAATTTTCAAATATTAAAATAGTGGTGTATGCTTGTTTCTTAGTTTTACTGGTTTTGAATACCTCTGTCTATCCATGCTTCCTAAAATAGTGTTTATCAATCAGAGTGTAGTATAATCTTTTGGAGGATAGTGAAAATAAAAAAGAAAATATTTTATTTGCATATCTGGTCTGCTACTTTGTTTTTTTTCTGATTGGGAATTAAGACCATTAACAGTCACTGTATAATAGAAAAATGGGACTTAATTCCTGTCATTTTATTTATTTTGCACTAATTGATGCATTAGTAACTCCTTTTCTTCTCAAGTGTATGGGTTTTGTTTTGTTTTCTTTCTTTTCTTTCTTTTTTTTTGAGACAGTGTTTCTCGCTTTGAAGTCTGTCCTGAAACAAGTTCTTGTAGACCAGGCTGGCCTCAGTCCACCTGCCTCCACCTACTGAGTGCCGGGATTAAAGGCATGTGCCACAACCACCCAGATGCTTCTCAAATGTTTTAATATCATATACTATTTCTCTATACAGTTTTTAGTGCATTTATCTTTCTCATCTTTCTCTTCAACCAACAATGTTCTTTTCAGTATCCTCTAGTGTTGAGTTACTTGTCATAAATTCCTTTAGCCTGTTTTGATTTTGGAAAATATTTCATATTTCCTTCGATTTTGAAAGATAATTTTTGAATAAAGTAGTTTTGATAGATAACTATAGAATTTCACTACTAGAAGTATTTGTTTCCCAGATCTTCTAGCCTTTTCCATTGAAAAATCAACAGTATAATAAATCAGTCTTTTATGTGATTTATTACTTTTATTTTACAGCTTTTGGTACCATTTCTTTATTCTGTACATTTGACTTATTTGACTTCTCTTATATAATTGACATGGTTGTTTATTTTCTGATCCTATGTATTATGTATTTTGTGCCTCTCATCCTTTGATGAGCACCACTTTCTTTATATTTAGGAAACTTTCTTTTATTATTCTACCACATAAATATATATATACATATGTTTAAAACACACACATACACGCATATACATATATATATATATATTACTTTATTGATGGGGCTATACTTTTATTAAACATAATTCACACATTTTATCTTTTTTGTGTCCAAAGTATTTCACTATTCTATTTATGATTGTATTTTTATTTATATTTTCTTGGATGAAATGATTCATTACCTATATATCAAATGACTGCTTAATCCAAAAAATCCTCTTCTCACTTCAGCAGCTCATATAGTAAAATTGAAACCACACAGAGAAGATTAGCAAGGCCCCTGTGCAAAGATGACAGGCAAATTCGTGAAGCATTCCATATTTTTAATTAACAACTTTTTGTCATTAATATCTATTAATATCAATGGACTCAATTCACCTATAAAAAGACAGAGGCTAAGAGAATGGATACAATAACAGCATCCAGCCTTCTGCTGTATAAAAGAAACACGCCTCAATCTCAAAGACAGACATTGCCTCAGAGTAAAGGGTTGGGTAAAAAATTTCCAATCAAATGGACCTAAGATACAAGCAGGAGTAAGTTATCCCAATTTCTAACAAAAGAGATTTAAAACTAAAATCAATCAGAAGAAATGGAAAAGGACACTTTATACTCATAACAGGAACAATTCATCAAGATGAAGTATCAGTCATGAACATCTATGACCCTAATACAAGAGCACCCATATATGTATAAGAAACATTACTTTCATAATGTTACTTTCATAATGCAACTTTTTCCTACATCTTCTGGATTTGGGTGTGAGAGCAGGGAAGTATAGATCTTAATTAAGGGAGCCATTTTAGGGTTGTCAAGAGACTGGACTCTAGAGGGGTTCCCAGGTGTCCAAGGAGATGTCCCCAGCTTGTTCCTTGAGCAGCTGAGGAGAGGGCGCCTGAACTGGCCTTATCCTATAGCCACACTGATCAATATCTTGCATATCACCATAGAATCCTCCTCTGGCGATGGATGGAGTTAGAGACAGAGTCCAACACTGGAGCACCAGACTGAGTTCCCAAGGTCCTTATTAGGAACAGAAGGAGGGAGAACATGAGCAAGGAAGTTAAAACCTCAAGGGGTGCGTCCACCTACTGTGATGGTGGGGCTGATCTAATGGGAGCTCACCAAGGCCAGCTGGAATGGGACTGATGGAGCATGTGAACAAACTGCACTTTCTGAATGTGGCTGACAAGGAGGGCTGACTGAGAAGTCAAAGACAATGGCACTGGGTTTTGATTCTAATGCATGGACTGGCTTTGTGGGAGTCTAGTCGGTTTGGATGCTCACCTTCCTAGAACCGGACTGAGTGGGGAGGACCTTGGACTTCCCACAGGGCAGGGAACCCTGACTGCTCTTTGGACTGGAGAGGGAGGGGGAGGGGGAATGGGGGAGGAAAGGGAAAATGGGAGGAGGGGAAAATTTTTAATAATAATAATAATAATAATAATAATAAATTATATACAAAAAAGAAACATTACTAAATCAAATCTCACATCAAACCTGACACACTAGGGTATTTCTTTGACTTTTAAATAAATGATTATATTGGTAATTTACAAACAAACTTATTTTCAAATATTTCATTCTCATTGTTCAAACTAAGTTAAGATTACCAAACTATATTAATTTATATTTCAATATGTATTATATTGGGGATGGAAAGATGGCTCAGCAGTTAAAAAAGCATACTGCTCTTATGGAGAACCTGAGTTCAGTTCACAGCACCCTCACCAGTTGTCTCAAAATCTCCTGTAACTCTACAAATTATGAAGCTATGACTTTTGTAAATAAATGCACTCATGTGTATGTTAACATAATTAAAATAAGAAGCCTTTAAAATTCATGTTTTGATATTCACATACAGCTAAAAGCAATTAATTAAAAATGAAATATTGAAGAAATTCAAGGAACAATTTATTGCTATAAATCAAGTAGCTCACAGACATATGTCCTTTATTTCTAACATTTCACAAATATAATACATGTAATAAAAATTATTTCAAAATTTATTGCAAACAAATACTATCTTTAAGTATATTATATGTGATTTCAGGGTAGATTTGGGCCTGTCCATCATAGAAGACAGAAAATAATAGTGTATTTTAATTTAAAACACCTTTGCATTCATAGAAAAAATATTTTATGTACTGAATAAAGAGGCTAAATTTAGGTAGGTTGTGGTTCTTCGCATCATAATAAAAGACAAGGACACTATCTAAGAAAATTTTAGTAGTGAATTATATTTATATAATATAACATATTATATAAATATTATATAAATATAATGTATTATATAAATATTTTATATAATATAAATATTATATAAAATATATTAACTAGTGGTTATATTTATAACATTTGTATGCATTTTAATCTCCACATTCAAATTATAAATGCACTATATTTTGTAAGAAATCTAGTGTCTCTAATCACCATTCTTGGAGTGAAAAAATGAATGGAGAGAAACAAAACACGAAACTAGAAAATATGATAAAAAATGACGAAGGCATATTCCACAGAGAGAGAGAAAGCAGTCAAAACCATACATATGAACTGTTGGAAATTTCAGAACTTAAGTGAAAAAAAAGGTGTTATGGCTTCTATAAACATTTTCAGGGCAAAAAGAAACTTAAAGATAATTAAGAAAACTAGAAAGCTGTTATACAGGCTGATAATTATTAAGTAACTTCCTCATCAGTTGCTAATATGTTTAACTTTAAAGAATTGTATCTGAAAACTAAGCTAGACACCTTTTCTCATGCTCAGAAATATAGTATAGGCTAGATAGACATTGAGAAGACACACATGGAGTGTGTTAAGCATAACTAGAGGTCTAGAACATGAGAACTGAATTTTAATAACATAAATCACATGAATTGGCAGAGATGAAGCGTTTAGTAAATTCAGATATAAAATGGATTATTCAAATACAATGGAGAAGTCAAGGCCCAGATCACTGCCAAGGGTCATGACTGTGTCTGTGACCCTGAAGTGGCCAGGGTCTGAGTTCATGTCCATAGTTCCTGTTACCACCAAGGGCTCTGGTCAGTCACCTGAGAACATGTTGTTGTTTGAGGACCATACTACTACCAAGGCCAGGGAGCCAAGCTTCTGAGGGTCATGCCTGGGCCCATGGTTCCACTACAGCTGGGGTCCGTGATAATATACATAGTCTGTGTTAATACAGGGGGGTCATTGGAACCATGTTGTACTGAGCTAGCCCTGTCCTTCACTGGCCCTAGATAGTTGGCTCAGTCCCTTGTTGATACTGCAGTAGTAGAACTAGAAGTGTCCCTAAGGGGAGAACTGGCCCCTACATTTGGGAAAGATGGCCCCACTCCTCATCACAGGTAAAATCTTCACCTGGGCAGCACACTAGAGCTGTCCCTCTTTGGGGGATGCAGGTGAGACAACCCTAAAAGCATGAAAGTAGGAGAGCTGAATTTACTCCCTACGGGTCTGCCATGGGGTGACATGGATGAGGCAAATATACTTTTCCCTTTTCACTCAGGATCACAAGATTGGGAAAGCTAGCCCTGAGCTTCACCAGCAGCAGCACACAAAGAGATTGGGTTCTGCACCCTGTCTGGGCAGCACACTAAAGCTGACGCTGTTGTGGGGATGCAAGTGAGCCAGCTCTCAGAGCATGAGAGTAGCAGAGTTAACTCTGGTCCCCTCATCTGCCATGTGGTGACAGGGGTGAAGGAAAGATGCCTTCAATACCACCCAACTCACGAATCCCTCAATACCTGCAGCAAATGAGAGAGCTGACCCAAGGGTCGAAGAGTGAAAGAACCATTCCAGGCCCTCGCCAGCTGCAGCACACAAGAAAGTGGTCCTTGCACCCTGCCTGGGAAGCACACTAGAGCTGACCATGTTGGCCAGGTTGCAGGTGAGCCAGCCCTGAGTGCTTGAGAACAAGAGAGCTGACACTACCTTGTAACTGGAGATTTCTTTCCTGCCCATCAGTTATCCAATAACCTCTCTGAGGCTTAATATTAATTATAAACTATATGACCTGCTAGCTCAGGCTTATTATTAACTAGCTCTAACCACTTATAATAAAATAGAAAGCCATTTCTATTATTCAATATTTAACCATGAGGTTTGTGGCTTGCTTTCCCAGAGGCTGCTGGCATCTTTCTCTTCTCTTTCCCTGTATCTTTTCTTGTATTTCACACAAGGCTCTATTATACCTGCCTGTTAGCGAAATCAGCTTCTTTATTAACCAATGGCAATAAAACATATTTGCAGCATACAGAATGGCATGTCACATCACACCCTCCAATGCTCCTTACAGCAATCAAGAGAGAGGGCCCTGCACCTCCCCTGGGAAAAAACAGTAGAGGTGGCCTTGGCAGTATGAGTGTGGGTGAGTGGATCTGAGGATCTGAGAACAGAAGAAATGGTACTGTTCCTTAATGTAGGCTACATTGAGTAAGTTAGCCAAGGCAGTGCTGGAAAGATCCACCTGCGTGGAGATGATGATATACAGCTGACAGACTGACAAATCCAGGTACCACCCAGGCCCCAGAACCCTCGCTGTAAGTTGGCATATGCCAACATCTTCCTCCTCTATGAACTATAAGAGCATGTGAAGGGGATGAACCTACAGATCTAAAACCCAAGAATTTCTAAGACACAGGACAACAAAAGGATATCCAAAATGAGCTTCAGCAAGAATTTCAGCATCATTGCTATAGCAGAAGTCAGAGGCCTTCAGCCAAAACCATTACTCCAATGACTCATGGCAATGAACAGTTACTTGCAAGTAAAGATGCGTGGACTAAAGGGCAAAACGTGTAACTCAACAGGCAACACTACAGCTTCCATGATGAGATTCTTCTTCTTTTTTTTGTTTTGTTTGTAATATTTGATGTTTGGCTTTACTTTTAAATTTAGTTTCATTTTGGTGGGGGCAGAGGGAGAAAACAAGGGAATGGGAATATAAGTGGGATCAGAATGCATGATGAGAAATAAAAAAGAATCAAAAGTTAAATTATTTTAAAAAGAAAGAAGTTATGCTGGAGGTATTTTTGCAAAGTAGTAGAAAAGTCATACAACCTCTATATTTCATATTTGAAGTTACTTTAAATACTAACAACCAAATATGATAAGTTCAATGATATGTTAAAGCATTTTTACATGATGATATTTTCATTCATTCATACCTTAATTAAAAATTCTATATAGAAAATAATCTGATGGGCAGATGTAGATGATACAAGGTTTACTACACTGATGAATATCTTGCATATCACCATAGAATTTTTATCTGCCGATGGATGGAGATAGAGATAGAGACCCACATTGGAGCACTGGACT